GTTGCCCACAGGGCCCCCAGGAGGATCCCCAGAGCCCCTCAGGGCTTACAGGGCACCCTAGCCTACCTTCCACTAACTCACCTCCTGAATCTGCAGTAGATGAGCCCTAAGACTGTTGTCCCTCTGCACCCTACTGTCACATGAGGGACCTTAGTTGTCTCCTCTATAAAATGGAAAGGGGCTGAAGGTGGGGGGGGGGCAGGGGGCTTCCCGGGGGGCTGGAGGCCTGACTTGGCCTCCTGGGCATAATCGTAATAACATCTTCCAGGGGCCGTCTCTGCCTTGCCGTAGTCCCCAGGAGCTGGGATCATGTTTCCCCCTTCACAGATAATAACGCTGATAACAAAAAAACATTAATTGAGGGCTTCTGGGTGATGAGTGGTTTCCGAGTGAGTTTGGCTCGTGGAATCCACACCTCAGTCCCCAGGGTGGGTGGAAACGGAGGCAGGTCACATGAAGCCAACTGCCCTGGGCCACGTGGCTCTGAGGCTGGAACCCGGACAGTCCCAGGCTGCCCGGTCAGGGGGCCAGCGAACCGAGGAGAGGACCGGCTGGTGACCATATGAACTCTGTCCCGCAGTGACCACAGACCCCCCTCCCGATGTGCATGTGAGCCGCGTAGGGGGCCTGGAGGACCAGCTCAGTGTTCGCTGGGTCTCACCACCTGCCCTCAAGGACTTCCTGTTCCAAGCCAAGTACCAGATCCGCTACCGCGTGGAGGACAGTGTGGACTGGAAGGTACTTGTCCGCCTACCCACCCACTCACCTGCTTGTCAGCCCACCCTGGCCCCCAGCCCCAGGCTCTGACCCTGCCCTACCCGCCCAGGTGGTCGATGACGTCAGCAACCAGACCTCATGCCGCCTGGCAGGCCTGAAGCCAGGCACTGTGTACTTCGTGCAAGTCCGCTGCAACCCCTTTGGCATCTATGGCTCCAAGAAGGCCGGGATCTGGAGCGAATGGAGCCACCCCACGGCCGCATCCACCCCCCGCAGTGGTGAGGACCCCTCAACAGGCCTGGGTGGTCTGGGGACCAGCCCGAAACCAGAACGGCTCTCATTCTCCTTGTTTCTCTAATGAGAACAGGTGGTCTCAAACTGGTGGTCCCAGGGCCGAACGAAGGTGGCTGCTCCTCAGTCTATTTTCTTTGGGCTGTCATTAAAAAAAAACTTTTTCTACCTATTCCCAGACCTTTAAAAACAGGACCTTTTTACACAAATATCCTGGATTCTCTAGAAAAATTCATTCTCTAGAAAATTTATTAAGACAGGGCCAGTGTTGCCGTGAAGCTGCCCCTTCGGGCAGGGCCCTCACTGTCCAGCTGTCCCATCACCGCCTGGCCCAATTAACCATTTGCACCCCCTTCCCTAGGTCCCTGGGTGGCACAAATGTTTGCACATAACTATGAGCCTAAAGGTTGACTGTTCGAATCCACTTCGTGGTGCTGTGGAACAAAGGCCTAGCAATCTGCTTCCATAAAGATTACAGCCATGAAAACTCTATGGAGCAGTTCTACTCTGTAACACATGGGGTCACCATGAGTCAAAATCGACTTGACAGTAACAGGGCACCCCTCTCCCCAACCCCTGAGGCAAGCAGGTTTGAGACTTCTGCCTCTGAGGCCTATTGAGTGTCAACTCTTCCTCTGACGGGCCTTGATTTCCCCTTCTGATCAAGAAGAGGGGTCGGAATGATCAGGGGCCTGGGTCTAGCTCCTCTAAGTCAGTGGGCTCTGTGCTGTGCTCTGTGGAATAGGGCAGTCGTGAGCAATGGGATGAAATTTATTATTGGGCGTCTCTGGCCTCAGTTTCCTCAACTGGAAAGTGGGACCCATAATCACACCAGCATCAGTGCAGGAAAGCACTTTAAAGAGTAGTAGGTGGGAGGTGAGGGTGAGGGTGAGCCTGGGTCCCCTCCCCCCATTTCACCCCGAAAGGCCTTTTTCTCAGAGGAAGACATGGAGGGTCTAGGAGGTTCAGCTGCCCCCCTAGGTCACGCTGGGATCTCAGCTCAGTTCCTTGGGAGTCCAGGCCCACCTAATGGGCTGACGGGGAAACCGAGGCCCAGAGAGGCTCCCGGAGCCAGGGAGGGCGGCCCAGGCTGCGGCAGGCTCCCAGCCCCAGCCCGGGCCCCTCCAGGTCGGGGTGGGCGGAGCAGCGCCGGGAGGGGCCTGAGCCTTGGCCCTGCTCGTGCCCAGCACCTGCGATTCTTGCACGGGAGCCAGCAGGCGCTGCGTCCACAGGGAGGCCGGGGAGGCGCGTGGGGGCGGTGGGGGCCGGGGCCGTGCCAGGGCCTGTCAGCGGGTCCCCGGTGTTATTTATGACGTGAGGCCGATGTCCTTATCCGTTGGCCTGCTTGGGGCTGCCTGCGGCCGGCCGCTGAACCGACCGGCTAGCCTCCCACCTGGCCCTTTTGCCCTGCTCCTCTGCTGCTTGTGCTCCCGACCCACCTAGGGACCAGCCCACAGGTCTCCTCCCTCTCTCTGCTTCCTCAGGCTCTGTGTCTCTCTCTCCTTCTGTATCTCTGTATTTTTCTGCTTTTCTTGGTCTCTGTGTTCCTATCTCTCTCCATCTCCCTGTCACTCTTCATCTCGATCTTCCTGTTTCTCCATCTCCCTCTTTCTGTCTCTGTTTCTCTGCTTGTCTCCGTCCATCTTTGTCTCTGACTCCGTCTCCCTGTCTCTTTCTGTTTCTCTCTGCCCCCTCCATCTCTTCAGCTGTTGCCTTTCTTTCTCCCCATCTCCATCTATCTGTCTTCCTGTCTCTGACTCTCCCTACCTCCCTCCATCTCTTTGTCTCTGTCTGTCTCTTCCCTCGTGTTTGTCTTTGTATCTTGGTCTTGGTGTCACCCTACACAGTCCTTCCCCCTCTTGCCCCTCTGTGTCCCCCTCATCTCCTTGGCTGCCCCCCTCCCCAGCCCTCTCTCCTCACCATCTCTTTCTCCTTTTTACTCCCTTCCTCTCTCTCTTCCAGCCTGTTCCCCTCAGGGCCCTCGTTTAGGTCCCCTCCTCTGCCCCCTGCCCTATCAGTGTATCCTCTCCTCCCCTGCCCCGGACCCTCCCTCGCCGACCCTCCCTCCCCTCTCTCCCTGCCCTTCCACGCACACCTGGCTCAAGCCTCAGGAATCCTGTTCCTGGACACGTGGAGGAGGAACCCCTTCCTCCCCTGCCCCCACCTCCCCAGGGGCAGGCGAGCCGGGCCGCAGTGAAGGGCTGCGGGGAGGGCCGGGTCCCCGAGACACACGGGGGGACATGGCCGAAGGGCGCGCGGGCCGCAGCGCGGGCCCGCTCCTGCCCTGCTCGCGTGCGCCCCCTGCCGGCCGCGCCCCGACGCTGCCACTGCGCCCTCTCTTAGAGCGGCCGGGCCCCGGCGCGGGGGCGTGCGAGCCGCGAGGCGGCGAGCCGAGCTCGGGCCCCGTGCGGCGCGAGCTCAAGCAGTTCCTGGGCTGGCTCAAGAAGCACGCGTACTGCTCGAACCTCAGCTTCCGCCTCTACGACCAGTGGCGCGCCTGGATGCAGAAGTCGCACAAGACACGCAACCAGGTAAGGAGGGGGGTCCCCAACCAGGCGGGAGAGGGGATCGCAACCAGGTAGGGAGGAGGGACCTGCAACCCGGTAGGGAGGCAGGATCCGCCACCAGGTAGGGAGAAGGGGCCGCCATCAGGTAGGGAGGGGGAAACGGTGGGGGAGGGGCAGGAGGCTGGGGGGAAGTGGTTGTCCCGCATCCCCCACGACACCGCTGCCTTCCTTCCAAGCACAGGACGAGGGGATCCTGCCCTCGAGCAGACGGGGCTCGGCGAGAGGTAAGGGGGACCCAGGCGGGCTAGCGGGAGCGCGTGCCTCATCCTTAGCTTTAAAGTCGCTGAGATGGAAATCCTCCCTCCTTAGTATTTTATTCTTCAGCATTTACTTAGCGCCCACTGTTTCCCCAGGCCTGTGGCCTTTTGCCTAGAAAGAGCATCCAACCCGAGGGGAGAATCTCATCCCGATACCCCAAGTCCCAGGAATGAATGAATGATAACCATACTGAACATACTCCTCATAGTTAGCATGTATGAGCGCCTACTGCATGCCTGCCCTGTGCCAAGTGCTTTACCCCCAGGACACCAGGTGAGGTGGGTAAAAACCAAAAACCAAACCCGTTGCCGTCGATTCCGTGGGACAGAGTAGAACTACCCCCTAGGGTTTCCAAGGAGCAGCTGGTGGATTTGAACTGCTGACCTTTTGGTTAGCAGCTAAGCTTTTAACCACTGCACCACCAGGGCTTCTGGTGAGGTGGGTAGAGTCTCATTTATCAGATGGGGAAACCAAGGCCCAGAGAGGGGCAGCACCCTGTCCAAGGTCACACAGCTAAGTGTGGCGTGTGGCACCAGGACCTGAACTGGGCCTCTGTACCAGCTCAGCAGTGCTCAGTCCCTGCCTTCTCTTCTGCCCACAGGTCCTGCCACATAAACTCTAGGGCCCAGGGGCTGCCATCGCACCCAAGATCCTGGCGGTCCGGGAACACCCATTTCAGGAGCTCTGACAGCCACACAGCTTGGGCCCCTCTGGAGGCCACCCTGGGGGATGCCCCAGTATGGGGGATGCCCCAGTATGGGGGATGCAGGCTGGACTGAGTTGCCTGAACTTGCCAGGCTAGGGTGAGGCAGGGTCACGATGCCTCCCCACCCAGGACCCCACCAAAGAGTCTTTCTAAATAAATGAGTTATTTAGGTGCTGATTGTGTAGGGGGCTTTGAGTCCAGGTTGGGATGGCAGGGCTTGGGGAAGGGGAGAGGAGTCCTCATGACCCTTTGGGGGGTGGAACTTCTGCCCCCAGAACATCAGACTGGTACTCTCCAGGATATGAAATTCTGAAAACACCGGCGGTGGGTTTTGGGGAGTCAGGGAGGGGTGAGTGGCTTCCACCAGCCATTCCTGGTCCTGTGGGTCTCCCTCCCTGACATGCTTGCCCCAGCACCCCAGAATACAGACGGTGGAGCAGCTGTAGACAGAGGAGTCTTTATTGGGGGGGTGGTCAGCAGCCTAGTGGGGCATGACCCAGCCAGCTGGCAGTCAGGCTGGGCTGGGCGCCATCCACCGAGTTTCTCATCTCCCTTGGCTTGTCCCTGGGGAGCCCGATCACTCCACAGACTCTGCATCAAACCTGAGGTCCTGGAGAACCTCGCTGATTGCCTCCATGGTTTTAATTACCCTACAAGAGCGGATGGGAACTATAAATAAAACCCAGATGGGGTGAATTAGCCAACGCTGTGCAGCCAAGGGGGATGTGGTGAGCTCGGGGCCCTCCTGCCCGCCGCCCAGCTCCAGGCAGCACCAGCGTTGAGCAGACCCCTGGGACAGATGTGCACATGCATGTGCTCGGAAGCCTATATGCAGGTATTTTAGGAGGCTAAGTGTACAGCCATGTACACAGAGTGAGCGTGGTGGGGAGCATGTGCACATGCGTGTGCTTTGGAGGCTATGTGCATGGTGGTGTGGAGCCTGGGTAACTGTGTCCAGCCCTGTGTGTAGGACCTGGGGGTGCCAGGGTGCAGCTGGTGTGAATCTGCAGTGTGTGCACTTGGGGGAGTGTGTGAGCTGTGGGCTACCAGGTGAGTTCTCAGTGTGCACACCCTAAGGGCTGCATGCAGCGTGGAGGTCTGGCAGGGGCAGCTCTGAGGACCGCTGACTGGGGTGGGAGCTGGAAGGTACCCTGCAAATGTAGCAAGGGCCCCGCTGGGGGTAAGGCTCACTTCATCTTCAGCTGATGCATCTGGGAGGCGTCCTCCTGCCCCCTCAGCTCCGGTGCCCCCATCAGCTGCAGCAGGGCCACCTGGGGGGAGGGGTAGCCGGAGGGAGTCACCTTTGGCAGAGGCTTCCTTGCCCCCGCCACCAAGATACTGCCGCCACCCAGATACTGCCGTGCAGACCGGCAGGGCGGGGTGGCGCCACCGGGAGGGGCGGAGCTTTGTGTGGGAGGAGTGTCCTTGGGAGGGAGGGGCCAAGCGGGCAGACCAGGGAATCCCAGTGCGGAGCCTCGGGGGCGGGACTGCATGTGGGCAGGGCACAAAAAAAAAAAAAAAAAACAAGTCTCGGCCAGGGATTGGCGGTAGAGGTAAAGTAGGTGGGGCCTGGGAATATCAGGGGCAGAGCCTTGTAATCCCAGGGGCGGGGGCTGGGCATCCTCGAAGAGCGCTAAGGCTGGGGATTGGGGGCGGGCAGGGTGAGCGTGTCCTAGGACTCCGACAAAACCTGCACTGAAATCAGGGGCCGTAAGGAGGAAGCAAGCGGGAGAACCCGGAGAAAGGGGCTGTGAGGGGGAGGGTCGGGTCGGCGGGGGCTCACCGTGGCCAGGCGAGTCTGCTCCAGCTGCTGCAGGGCGCGCACGTGGCCGGCGAGCAACGGCTGTGCTCGGGGCCCGGCCAGCTCGGCCTCCAGGGCCAGTACCTCCCGCGAGGCGGCGGCGAAGGCCTGGGTTACCTTGTGCACCGAGCCCCGGTAGCGCGGGAAGTCGTAATGCGGGCCGCTGCGCACGTACTGGCGGTGAGCTCTGCGGCAGGTGGGGGTCCTGAGGCCGCGCCCCCAGGCCCTGCGCCCGCGAGACCACCTCGGGGCCCCCCACGGGGAGTTGCAGGACGCTGGAGACCCTGACCCCCCAAGGGTGCCCAAGACAGGCCCACCCCTCCCTATTGGTAATGAGGGGGAAGCCGCGCCGAAGGGCGTCCAGGAGTGGGGGCACGCCCTGCGTCCCCGCGAGCGGACGCGAGGATCTAGCCCACAGCAGAACCCGACCCACCTTGGCCGCGAAGCGCACGGAGACCCCGGGTACCTGCACCCCACCCACCCGGCTGCACTTACTCCTCCAGCCGGCGGAAGGCCTGCGCACGCTCAGCTTGGAGCTGGTGGATCCGCTGTACCAGCGCATGGACCGGGGCACCTTTCTGAGGGCGGGGGACACGGCCCGGACTTGAGGCTGGCTCCCCCAGCCCGCCCCGCCCACTCGCCCCGCGTCTCCTGGCCTGGGCCCGTGCTCACCCAGGGCCACGCCGGCTCCGCGCGCCCGGGGGCTCCAGGGGCCGACGCAGCCTCCTCCGCCGTGATCATGACTGGGAGGCCTGGGTTCGCCCCGAACTAGGCCGCTTCGCCACGCGCGGCGCCCCCTGCAGGTCCGGAGGACTCAGGCCCAGGGAGAACCGGGATCGGGACCCTCTGGCTCCGTCGCCCGCGCCACTCGTCTGCGCCTGCCCTGCGCCCGCTGTCCTGCCGTGTTGTTGAAGGCACAGCTCTTGTAAGGAAGGGCTATTAGCCCTCCGCTTGTTTTGTATGCACGCATCGGAACACCCACGTGGCGCTTCCTTGGTTTCATTTCATTCTCACAACGCTCTGCCTCAAAGACAAGGAAGCGAGCCCAAGGTATAGCCCCTTGCCCTAAGGCCACAGGGCTGTGACATTAATGGGACTGGGACACAGCTTCTGGCGCTGGAGAGCACCAAGTCACTGGAACCTGCAGAGGGCTCGGGTAGTGTGTGCCAGGCCAGGAGAGCTGAGCAGAGAAGCCACTCTGCAGGCTAGAGAACAGCCTGTGCAAAGTCCCTGAGACAGGGGCAGGGCCTGCAGGGACTCATCTTCAGTGCTGAGCTTATGGAGCTTCGTGACCCAGCGATTCCTCCTCCAGGGACTTAGGGATGGTGGAGGGCATGGGGGAGTAGGGAGCCAAGGTGGCCCAGAGTGGGAAGGGAGCAGTGGACACGTAGCCTGATGAGTTGAGGTGGGGGTGACTGGGACACTAGCCTTCAGCAGGGGCTCAGGGAAGAAAGGGTCTCAGGCACCTGCCCTTAAGAGGGGGGGTGGTGGTCACCTCAAGACCAGGGCCAGTCTAGGTAACATCCCTCACCTGACATCACTTCAAACAGATACTTGCTCCTCTGAAATAATCATCAATCTCAGGTGGGGCCCAGGTGGCCCTAGTGTGCACCCAAGTGGGAGGTGGGGGCAATCCTGGCTTTCCACTCATCCACCCACCCATACCTAGACATCAGCTCCCAGGCACGGGCATGAGGGACACCTGCTGGTGGCTGATTTATTGTTAGGTGTCAAGTTGGCTCGCACTCATGGTGACCTTATGTACAACAGAACAAAACAACCTGGTCCTGTGCCTTATGTTTGAGCCTACTGTAGCAGCTACTGTGTCAATTCATCTTATCAACAGTCTCCCTGTTTTTTTTGCTGATCCTCTACTTCGCCAAGCATGATGTCCTTCTCCAGGTACTGGTCGCTCCTGATAATGTGTCCAAAGTAAGATGAAGTCTCGCCACACTTCTAAGAAGCATTCTGGCAACCCATGGTATATACCACAGTATATACCATGGTACCTGACTAGGCCTGCCATTTCCTAGCCAGTCCTAGGGCAGGGGTTTTTACTCTCATGCTCCACATGACAAACCCAGGTTCAGGGAGTAACTAGGCTTCCAAGTGGGAGGGATCCCATCTGGCTTGCCCTGTGGTTAGACAATCCTGTCAGAGGAGGGTGGGGACCCCTGCCTGTTTTAAGGACGAGCTGACTAGAATTCAGGACTGAGTGTCAGGCAGAATTGAGTAAGAAAAGATCCCTTGCCTAAGCTGCCTCCCTCCTGAACAGACTAGCCACAAACACCAGTTACTGCTTCAGTTCAACGAAAGGGAGACTTTATTGAAGGCCCAGGGTTATGGGGCTTGGGAGGAGGCCATCAGCAGGAAGCAGGGGAACCGGCTAAGAGGGGCCCTTATTTGACCTTCTTTTTGGGGCGCAGGTTGTTGGTGTGGCCGCACTTCTTCTTGCGGCAGTTGACAGCACGGGGGTGCAGGCGAGCGTAACACCTGTATGGGAATGGAGTGCTTAGATGTGGGGGTGCAGGTGAGCATAACACTTACACAATAAATGGGGCACAGAGTGCTGTCAGAGCACTGACTCCCCCCACCCAGACAGCCCAGACCGTGTGAGTGGGTGCGTACTTGCGGCAGATCATCTTGTCGCAGTTGTACTTCTGGGCAAGCTGGCGCAGAGAAGGCTCGATGATGCCGCCGCGCAGACGCAGCACCAGGTGCAGGGTGGACTCTGCAGGAGGGTAGGCAGGAGGGTCAGTAAGGGAAAGAGGCCAAGGCTGGGGCCTGGTTCTGCATGGGCAGGCGGGGCTGCCTAGTGCCCTGCAGATCAGAGTTTCCCCAAGTGCCGAGACAATGAGGACCCCTGGGAAGCTCTGCAGTCGATGGCCCCACCAGCCCTACTGGCCCACCACCCGCCTTGGCAAGTCTGAGGTTCACACGTGCCAACCAGGTGCCCTCTGGGCTTTCCAACACGTGACAATTTTTAAGCAGTGTGGGGATGAACCCCGTATTTTGATAGTTAAAAGACATTTGAGTCTTGTTACTGTAATAAGTGAGACCAAGTTTCCTGTCATGTTTTTAAATAAATGAAGTCATTACCACAATGAGATAACACCTCACCCCAACCCATGATCTAAAAGAAAAAACCCAGAAAATAAACATTGGTGACAATGTAGAGAAACTAGAAGCTCATCCATTCCTGGTGGCAATGTAAAATGGTGCGCCCCTGTGGAAAACAGTGGGGCGGTTCCTCAAAAAGGTAAACATGATCCAGCAACTCTGCTCCTATACCCAAGAGATTTAAAGGAAGAACACAAAGCCGTACACCTATGTTCACTACAGCACTTTCACACTAGCCAAAAGGTGGAAACAACCAAAACATTCCACCAACAGATAGATAAACAAAACATTGTCCATCCGTACAATGGATTACTCAGCCATAAAGACAAAAAAAGTCTGATGCGTGCTACCAACATGAACCATGAAAACAAAACAGTATGTTGAGTCAAAAAAGTCAGTCACAAAAGGACAACTATCGTATGAACCCACTCATGAAATAGCGAAAAGAGTCAAATGTATAAAGACCAAAGTTGATTAGTGGTGACCAGGAGCTGGGGGAAGGGAAGGGGAGAGGAGGAGCCATTGTTTAGGAAGCAGTGAGTTTCTGCTAATGGTGATGGAAATCAGCAATAGATTTTGGTGATGGTTGCACAACATGATTCATATAATCTGTCACTAAATCATACATGTGAAAAACATTAAATTAGCAAACGTGTTGTATATATTTTAAAAAAAAAAGCAGAACTCCCCCTGCTCCGGCCCCAGCCCACAATTGTATTTAAGTGTCTTCCTGGTGCCAAGGAGGCTGCCAGTGCACTGTCCAGGGTCCCAGACCTCCCAAGGCCCTGTTTGGCCCCTCTAGTACCTTTCTGGATGTTGTAGTCTGAGAGAGTGCGGCCATCCTCCAGCTGTTTGCCCGCAAAAATCAGACGCTGCTGGTCAGGTGGGATGCCTGGGCAGAGGGAAGGAGATTTCCCCATTACCGAGGGTCTGCTCAGTGTACTCCTTACAGGGAGAACAGCCCTTTGTCCTGAGACACAAAACTCGGGCTCGTTGGAGCCCAGCACTCATTTCACACCAGATGGTGGCTGTGGATAGAGCCAAAGGACCCAGCCCCACTCACCCTCCTTGTCTTGGATTTTGGCTTTGACATTCTCGATGGTGTCACTGGGCTCGACCTCGAGAGTGATGGTCTTGCCGGTCAGGGTCTTCACAAAGATCTGCATCTCTGCGTCTACTGTGGGGCGGGACAGAGTGGTAAGCCAGGTATGTCTGAGAAGCACTGGGCCTACAGAGACCCTAACGCAGGGCCAACCCCTAGCCAACCTACTGTCCTAGCCCAAGTCTGGCCATTCTTGGCAAGCCTTTTCACACAGCCTGGACCACAGCCTAAATGTGTCCTATGACTAAGCTTTCTCCATCCCGCGCCTGGAAGCCTGTCGTGAGCTTCATGGAGACTAGCACTGTTTATGATGCTCAGGCCTAGCAGAGAGGAGGGACTCAGTGTTTGCTGATAGAATAACAAGTCCCCCAGTGCACGGTCTGGCTGGCCATCCTTTCCCCAGAGAGGAGCTATGTCCCATCCTCCATGGCCTCAGCTAGCCCCTGGCCACAGGCTGCTCTTCCTGCTGGCCTAGGCAGGAACCCCATGTTAATAGCCACCCCCTACAGACACCTCCTCTGCAGGCTCACTTCTCCCCACTTAAATTCCAAGCTGGGTCACCCAACACACTGGCTTCCTTCTCAATTACGCCCAGACTCACCAGGCCTCACTTTTTGCCTCTGCTCTGGCCCATAAGTAGTAATGGCTACTACTGAGTACCTGCCAACCACGTGCCAAGCACTTGCTTTACAGATTATCACTTCATTATTTAAAACCAGGAGATGGACGCTACCACCATTCTCTCCTTATAAATAAACTGAGGCAGGCACAGAGTCCCAGCTGGGGGGTTGATACTTTAAAGGGCGGGACGCAGCACAGCGCGCTGCACGGAGAAATGCTGCTGTTTTGCCCGGTCTAAATGCCGACTCAGGACGGCCCCATGTGTGCAGAGTAGAACCGCTCCATGGGTTTCTTATTTTTCCATGGCTGCGACCTTTCGAAAGCAGATCATCAGACATTTCCTCTGAGGCACCGCTGGCAGAAAAAAACGCTACTCTCTTGATTACCCGTCCCACCTTAACCCGGATCGGCCCCGGGAGGACCCATCGGCGCCCCGAGGCCTTATAGGGTCGCTGGGGCCGCGGACCGGGCAGACCCCAATCCCAAAGCCCCGCTCGCTCCCGGTTCCACACGCTCGGCTGGCCGCCTAGCCAAACCCGCGCCGCGCGGCAGACTCGGAGCCGCTGCTTCGGCCTCCGACTCCCCGCGGATCCCTAGAATCCCCCCACGGACCACCGCCCGACCGTGACCCAGCGCGGACCCACGGCCACCAACACCGACCCGCTCGGCCGCCTCCTCGAAGAGAAAGAGGACGGCAGAACCGGAAACCACCGATTCGCCCCGAGAGCGCCTGCGCACCGAGCACGCCGCGCGCTGACGTCACAATCTGCGCAGCACGCCAGGCCCCACCCCTGTCTCCACGCCGCCGCCATGTTGGGTGCGGGCGGCGAAATGGCGGCGAGTTTGGGTAATTGTCGCCCGTCCCACTTCCGAGTGTGGGTTCGTTCCGCGGGGGTCACGTGAGGAGACAACCGCATCTTTCTAAGTGATTTGCCCCATTGAAGCGGGCCGGCACATAGCTCCGCTCAATGAGTGCCTGTTAACCAGAGCAGACGAAGGTGTTGTCTGCTAAAGCAAAAGCACTAAGCGGAGAGCCTGCGGGGAACGGGACACCGGTGCCCAGAAGCCCCCAGATGATACTCCAGGGTCAGTTATTAGAAAGCGCGGCCGCTGTGGGCTGACGGACGGTTTTCAGAGCAAGGATGGAAGCAGGAAGACCAGGTGGGGGTCATGCATTCGCCCAGGAAAGGGTGAGAGTCTGTGCTAAGTTGGGGGCTCCGTGAGACTCAGGGTCTGTTTTAGACATAAAGCCCAGGAGTCCTGTGAGTGGTTTAAATGTGCCGGGCCTGGGAAAGGTCCCGGTGGATTCTGTCTTTATTTCCTTCACCATTTCTGAGCACCTACTCTGTGTCTGGAAAGATGCCTTTAATAATGAACTCCTGGGTGCTCTGGATATGAAGCGTTGATGGGTCAGTGGTAGGTAGAATCCTCGCCTTTAATGCAGGAGACCAGGGTTTGATTCCTGGCCCATGCACCTCATATGGAGCTACCACTCATCTGTCAGTGGAGGCTTGCGTGTTAGGTTTCAGCAGAGCTTCCAGACTAAGATGGGCTAGGAAGAAAGACCTGGTGATCAAATTCTGAAATCAGCCATTGAAAACCCTATGGATCAAAACAATCCAGTCCATAACTGATCGTGGGGATGGCACAGGACCAGACAGCGTTTTGTTCCGTTGTGCATGGGGTCACCATGAGTAGGGGCCAACTGGACAGCAGCTAACAAGAACAACTGATGACGGGGGTGGTGATGCAAGGATGACTCAGAGTGGATTGTGGAGCGTAAGAGTGTTTGAAGCAGTGGAAACAGCATGTGCAAAGGCCTAGATGGCGACGGGAGGTCAGGTTATTGTAGCTACCACCACCAGGACTCCCACCAAACGCAGCCACATCTACTCCTGGTCCCCTGGTCCTGGCTGTCCACAACCCCAGCTTACGTCCCCCATCTGGGCCCAAGAAGTCACTGCCATAGGCAACCTTCCCTTTTTAGGAATGGAATCTTTTTATTGATAACTTCCCAACAGCATCTGTAAACATCGGGTACAAAAATATTCCGTGAAACTCTGTTTCCCAAGAGGGCCTGGCCTGCCCATGGAAGCCCCTGGGAAATGCTTGCTGGGGCAATCAAGTGTCCTCAGGGGCAGCCAGCCTCCATCTCAAGCCTTCCACCTGTCTCCAAACCCCCCCGAGATACTGACAGGAAAAAGTACTGTTGTTGGAGGAAGTGGCAGAGAGACTGGACTTAGTGGGGCGGGGGTAGGTGGGGGTTCTCTGCCTCCAGGAAGGCCTGACCAGGGGGGCTGGAAGGGGGTGGCCTGGCTTCAGTTCCTGAGAACCTTTAAGCGTTCTTCGGGACAGTCCTCAGGCCCAGGAAAGTCCCCTCATGCCCAGCCTGAGGACCCCAGCTGGGCTGGGCACACCCATAGGCTGGGGGAAGCATCTGCAGAACAGAGATGTTCTCAAGAGGAAGGGGTGGGCAGGGGAGTCCCCCCAGAGCATGTCACAAGCCCTGGAACCCCTGGGAGCCCCGGATAACAGACAGGATCCTTGGGAATTCAGGGCGAGGCTACTCGCCTGGCGTCTCCTCGTCGTCGTCTGTGGGGCCGTGACCATTGATGGTGGGGGAACCAGGCCGGGCCTGGGACAGGTCCTCAAAGCCAGGGCTGAGGGGGAGTGAGATGAGGTCAGGGCTGGTGTCGCAGGAGCCCGTGCTCTGCTCCGAGGTAGCAATGGTGGTCGTGGTGCTAGGTGGGATGGGGTCCTCATCCTCGTCCTCCAACAGGGATGCCTCTGGGATGTCTGGGGAAGGGGAGAGGTTAAAGCCGGTTCAGGACAGCCAGCCTGAGGTTCTTGCATGCAAGGCAGCACAGCGAGGGTCTTGCTGGGTTCGTGAGCCCACTGGCAGCCCTTCCAACCCTCAGGGGATGACTTGGCCCAAGTTAAAAAACAAAAAACAAAAACAGCTGCCTTTGAGTCAACCCCAACTCATGGTGACCCTATATGTGTCAGAGTAGAACTGTGCTCCATAGGGTTTTCAGTGCTGATTATTTGGAAGCTGATCACCAGACTTTTCTTCCAAAGCACCTCTGAGTGGACTGTTAGCAGCTGAGCACGTTAACTGTGCCACCCAGGGACTCCTCATCCCAGAGAAGGAAACTGAGGCCCAGGCAGGTGAAAGGCCCCACTTCAAGGTGAGAACAGAGAATATAGGCTCTAGGTCAGGCTGACATGGGCCCTGTTGGGGGGACCTGGCTGTGCCCCTCCTGACCATGTCACCAGGGTCAGCCCCCTCACCTGCCTGCACCTTGGCTGTCTCCTCTGTACACGGGCCTAATGACGGCACTGCCACTGTCCCATAGCCCTCGCTTCTGGAGTGATCAGCAGCCCTGGAGCCGGGAGCTGTCAGCCCATTCAGCTGATGGGGTAAACTGAGGCTCAGCATGGGGGACCTCTGAGGTGACGGTGACATGGAGTGACGATCAAGAGCACATGGGCTCCAAGCCAGACAGACGTGAGTTTGAGTCATGTCCCTTCCTCCACAAGCTGTTTCCCCTCTCTGGACCTCAGTTTCCCCATCTGTGAAACGGGCTACTCCAGCGATAACAGCCTGGCTCGTAGGAGTGCCTGGTACACGCCGGGGTGAGAGCTGTTAACAACCTCATCCTACTTCCTCCTGCAGCCTCCCCTGGGGAGGGACCCCCACCCCAACATCTATACTGCCAAGAGAACCTCCCTGCTCGTGCCCTTGGTCTCTGGACCCGCTGCCCAGCAGGCATCAGCATGAGACCCCTGCCAGGCCTGGCATTTGTCAGCACAGAGGCTGGACTTGGGGTACAGGAGCCCCAGGGGGCACTTACGGCTGAAGGCTTCTGGGTGCTGTCGGGCCAGCTTCCCTTTCAGGGTCCTGTAGGGGAGGAGAAGGCATGAAGGTTGACCCTGCTCCCAGGGAGGCTGGGCCAGGTGCTGTGGCTCCAGGCAGGCAGTGGGTCCTCCCCTCATTGTTCCATTCCAGCAGCCCCCAGCAGAACCTCACCCCTGGGTGAACACCCACGATCTACCTGTTACCCAGCTACTGTGCCTCCTTGAATACCTTTTTTCCATCTAACCCCCAGAGCCTCCCCACCAGCTCCCCAGTAATTGCTCCTGTGGGGGCCTGTCCCAGCCTTGTCCCTCCACCCGCAGGGGAACAGTCTTTGTCTGGCTCTTCCCCCCGCCAGCTGGGGCTTGTGGAGGCTGGGGCTGAGGCCTAGCACGGGGGCATTCTCGGGGGGGGGGGCAGACAGTGCCGGCTCAGAGAACGACAGTGTCCAAACCCCCGGCATCGCGTACTGGCCCTTGTGAAACCTGGGTTCACGGAGAGCACGTTACAGGTTGAATTGTGTCCCCCAAAAAGATATGTTGAAGTCCTAACTCCTGTACCTGTGAATGTGAACTTGTTTTCAAAAATAGTCTTTTTTGAAGATATTATTACTTAACGAGATCACATCCTATTGCTGTTGAGTCAATTCCAACTCATGGCAACCTCACGGCTTACAGAGTAGAACTGCCAGGCCTTTCTTCCATGGTGCTACTGGGTGGACTCAAACCTCCAACCTTTAAATTAGTAGCCAAGAGCAAACGATTTATGCCACCGAGGGACCTCTGAAGATAGGATTAGTTAACAAGGTCATACGAGAGTACCAAAATCAAAATCAAACCAGTTGCCATCAAGTCAGTTCCAACTTATGGTGACCCCATGTGTGTCAGAGTAGAACTATGCTTCATAGTTTCCAATGGCTACTTTTTCAGAAGCAGATCCACAGGCCTTTCTTCCAAGGCACATCTGGGTGGATTCAAACTGCCAACCTTTTGATTAGCAGCCAAGTACTTAACTGCTTGTGCCCAGGGACTCCATACTGGAGTAGCTGTTGTTGTTAGTTGCTGTTAAGTCGATTCCGATTCATGGTGACCCCATGTGTGCAGAGTAGAACTTGCTCAATAGGGTTTTCAAGGCCATGACCTTTCAGAAGCAGATCGCCAGGCCTATCTCCTGAGGCATCTCTGGGTGGGTTCGAACCGCCAACCTTTTGGTTAGTAGTCCAGTGCTTAGCTGTGCCATCCAGGGTGCCACCCAGGAGTAGGGTGGGTCCTGATCCCTTCTGAGTGCTGTCTTATAAAAGGGGAGAACAGATAGGGTGTCTGAGTCACACCAACAGGGAAGACAACGTGTGAAGGTGCATGTACATGCTGCAAAGGAATGCCAAGAACTGCCGGCAGCCACCAGAAGCCGGGAGAGAGGCAGGGGAGAGTTCCTCTCTCAGAGGCCTCAGAAGGACTCGACATGGCCAAGACCCCATTTCGGATTCCCAGCCTCCAGAACTGGTAAAGTAGAGGGCCAGTGAAAAAGAGAAAGACCCTCAACGAGATGGATTGACACAGCAGCTGCAACAATGGACTCAAGCATAACAACAATTGAAGATGGTGCAGGACCAGGCAGTGTTTTGTTCTGTTGTACATGGGGCTGCTATGAGTCGGAACTGACTCGACAGCACCTAAAAACAACAGAACTGTGAGACAATAAATTCCTATTCTTTAAAACCCCCCACTTGTGGCATTTTTCTATAGCAACCCTAGGAAAGAAGATGTAGTATTCGCTTCTTTTAACCAGCTGTTTTTCACTTTTTGCTGCCATGTTGTTTACAAAGAGCAACAAAGGACTCTTCGGAGCCCTGCCCCTTCTCAGAAGTCCAAGCATCCCAGACTGACCCTACCAAGCCCTTTCTACTTCATGGTTGTTGCATGTCATTCTCTTGTCCTACAGAGCTCTGCCCACTATTCGAGCCACCTAGCAAACTCCTATTCAATCTTCAAAACCCTGACCTGCAACCTGCCAGTCCCTCTCCCAGAAGTACCATTGTGAATAGTTCCCTGCCCATGGAGTGCCTGGGTGGACATACTTATCCCTTTCCTGGCTGACAGACACACAAAAAGGGCCATGCCTTTGGATTTCTGCTTTCTCCCCTGAACAACACACCTGTGCCAGCCTGAGACAACCCCCCTGAAAAGACATGTTTTCATGAAGGATTTAACCAGCCCCATCTCATTGATTTCTGCTCAGAACTTGCTCAGTGGAGTTTTTTTTCTTCTTCAATCTTTGGCACCAGCTGCCCCAAGTTGGCCAGTGGGTGAAGCTGCTGGGACAGAGGAAAACTGGCAGAAATGCTGCAGCAAGGACCCACAAAAGCTGATAATCTCACTTGCCCCGTGAGGAGATTTGGGTGGGGGCAAGGGGGGCAGGGGAATGGCTTTTCACTGTCTGCTCTTTCCTATCCTTTGAATTTTATGTGTTCAGTACTATGTAACCTGTTAGAAAAATTAGTAAAATTCAAAGACTTAACAATTTTTATCCCCAAGTTCAGATCCTCTCAGATGCTACCTCAAGGCTCGTGGGAGATAGCACAATAAATCCTTGTAAACTAAATAAGAAGAATCACCTAAGGAGGGATGATTCTCATTGAGAAAGGGAGGAAACCAAGGCTCAGACAAGGAACAGGAAGCACAGGCCAGGAGCTGGCTGGGAGGAGCCAAGGAGAGGCTGGGCCAGGGAAAGGGCGGGGCTAGAAAAGGGGCAGGGCCAGGGAGAGGGCAGGCTGGGGGTTGGGCAAACACGCACCGGATCCTGCGAAATATGCTGTCCAGGTCCCGTTTCATTTCTATCAGGGTCCTCGTGTGATGCAGGAAGCGCTCATTCATCTGCTGCAGGCGGGCACTTGACAGGTTGTTGAAGTTTAGCAGCATTTCGTTGGTCTTCTCAAAGCGGTCCAGCCTGGTGTAACAGAGAGGGCTCTTGCTCCTGTGCCCAGCCGCTGGGGTGCTGTCTGACCTGCCCCTCATCCTGAACTGACCCTGCCAAGTCCTGTCCTCCTTGAGAGCCTCATCCTGCTGAGCCCTACATGCTGTTCAAGTCATCTAGCAAACTCGTATTCATCCTTCAAAACCCCACCCAAATATGCATTCTCTCCCTGCTCCCTAAAGCACACACTGCTCTGACTCCCTCAGTCCCAAGTTTTTCCCTCTGGCCCATTCCTGACCCCAAAGGGCCAGGAAAGTCTGTGTGGGAGTCTCCTGGGGCTGGGGCCAAGGCCAGGTCTGCATCTGATCTAAGTAACTAGGAAAGAGAGAGGGGTATTTCTAAGCCCCAGATGCACCCAGTACCCTTGTTATAAGTGAGAGGTCAGGAAATCACATCTATGCTGTGCTGTACATGGAGTGTGGAGACAGCCTTCAGACCCAACTGAAGCCCCAAAGGCCATGATTCCACCCCAAAGTTTTGAAGGATGAGTAGGAATTTGTCGGCCCTGCTGCTCCACAGGGCAGGCCAGGATTAGGGTGAGGCTATGGCGGCCACAGGGCAAAGCCTCCTCCAGAGACCCTGTGTGCCGTGCAGATGCAGACACCCAGCCCTGTCAGGAAGCCAGCCCACCAGCTCCCTGGGCACCCTGAAATCCCCCAGCAGCCCAGCCTGTGCCCTACTCTCCCACGCAGGCCTCAGGATAGAAGCCTCGGCAGCCCACGCCAGGCTGTCCACAGCTGCAAATCCTTCCCCAAGCCCTGCTTCCAGTGCCAAAGCCTCGCCCCTAGTCCAGGGAGGAATGTGCTTTGGAGGCAGCCGAGTGATTTGCTCATTTCCTTCATTTTATTGCCCAAATGGGCCGAGGCAGGGCGGGCAGGCTAGCCAGCAGGCAGCTCCTCCCACTCACATGTTTTTTTGGGCCAGGATGATGGCATTGACGTCATCTGCATTCACCATGCTCAGGACGCGGCTGCAGAAGACCCTCGAGGCCGAGTCTGGGGCATCCATCTCTTCTTCCTCCTCCACAGCCTGAAATGGGTGAGAAGGCAGAGACCACCATCAGCCGCAGGCACGGGGGAGGCAGGACAGAAGGGCTGGGGGTGTCAGCCACCTGAGCCTCAGGGTCACCGCTTCAGGACTTTGAGGGCGTTGGGAAAGCTGAGGCATCCCTGGGTGTTGCAAATGGTTAAGCGCACAGCTGCTCACTGAAAAGCTGGAGATTCAGGTCTACCCAAAGGCACTTCAGAAGAAAGTCCTGGCAATCTACTTCCAAAATCTCAGCCATTGAGCCAAAACCCTATGGAGCACAGTTCTATTCTGACACACATGGGGTTGCCATGAGTCAACGTTGACTCGACTGCAAGTGGTTTGATTTTCTTTTTTTTTTTTTCTTCTGATGGGGGAAGAGTTGAAGGAGGTAAAGTTTGGGAAACGCTTAACAAGTGCCCGGTGCACAGGACAAGTTCAAAGAGAATATAGTGACACCCAAACACATCAGAATCTCATCATCCGTCCCACTGCAATGGCCCCTACTCTTGCTACAGCTATCGACCCCCTCACCTGATCAGCTCTGCAGGCCTCCTCCCTGGTTCTACCTGCGTTAACTCATTCCCACTGTAATGGGTTGACTTGTGCCCCCCACCAAAAAAAAGATATGTCCATGTCTTAAGCCCTGGTACCTATAAACATGACCTTGCTTGGAAATACGGTCTTTGTGGATGGAATCAAGTTTAGATGAGATCATTAGTTGTTGTTGTTAGGTGCTATCAAGTCGGCCCCGAACTCATGGAGACCCCACATACGACAGAACGAGATGCTGCCCACTCCTGCAGTACCCTGGGATCAGTTACAGATAGATTGTTGTGATCCATAGGGTTTTCACTGGCTGGTTTCTGGAAGATGTCCTGGCCTTTCTTCCTACTCCATCTTAGTCTGGAAGCTCCACTGAAACCTGTTCAGCATCCTAGCAACACACGAGCCTTGACAGACAGATAGATAGTGGCTGTGCATGAGGTGCACTGGCCAAAAACTGAACCATGTAGAAGGTGAGAATTCTACCACTGAACCACCACTGTCCTATTGAGGTCATTAGAGAGAGCCCTAAATCCAATCTGACTGTTGTCCTCATAAGAAGAGAAGTGACACAGACACAGGAGAAGGCCACGTGACAACAGAGGCAGAGATTGGAGCAACACAGGTATAAGCCAAGGAACACCAAGGATTGCTAGCAACACCAGAAGCTAAAAGAAAGGCAGTTTCTTCCCTAGAGGCTTCAATGAGAGCACAGCCCTGCCGACACCATGAATTTGGCCTCCTGATCCTGATGACATAGTAGTTGAGAGCTACGATTGCTAACCAAAAAGTCAGCAGTTCAAGTCCACCAGGTACTCCTTGGAAACCCTATGGGGCAGTTCTACTCTGTCCAATAGATTCGCTATGAGTTGAAATCGACTCAACAGCAACGACTTTGGTTTTTTTGGTTTGGCCTCCCGAACTGTAAGAGAATGAACTTCTGTGGCTTTAAGTGCCCAGTTTGTTACTTTGTTACAGCAGCCACAGGAGACTCATACACCCCACCTTTACTCATTCTGTGTGCTGTCCCCAACACCCTCCTCACATCATCATTCACCCCCCGCATCTCCTCTCCTATGGAGTCTTCAATGACTACTCCTGACACGGTCACTTTTACCACCTAACCTTGTTCTGATCTTTTCATTGGCCCATCTCTTCCAGAACTGTCTTACTTATCAGTTGTCCTGTGTGTCTGCCATCCCCACCGCACTGTTAGCTCCACGAGAACAGAGGCACGTCTGTCTTGTTCGCTGCTCTGTCTCCAGTCCCCTGCCCAGAACCAAGCTCACAGAGGTCGACATAACTTGGTTTTTGCTGGGGAAAACAACATTTCAAATCAGATCTAATGCTAGACTTTTATTAGGAAGTTAAAGCCAAGATTTCAGGCACTTGCAGCCAGGCTGTGGGGAAACCAGATGGCTCTGCAGCTCCCAGTTTCCCTGGCTTGAAGATGACCATCCTGGTGGACGGGGGCTTCCAGACCAGGTCAGGCAGGGACCTAGCTTCAATACTGTCCCCCCTAGTTCAGGAAAAACCCAGAATCCCAGCGTAGCTTAGCTCTGGGAACCACACATTTAACAGCTGACAAAAGAATCCATCTGCAATTGATTACAATCCTGTAAAAATGGTCTAAGTAGCATCGGAACCTGTCTAACTTCACGCGGGGAAAGATGAGAACTACCATCAGAACCAGAATCAGAATTACCATCAGTATCAGAATCAGCCCAAAGCTGATTCCTATGGTGTGGAGGTCAGACATACCTATACTCTCCAACCTTCTTACCGATTCTGATACCAGCTGTCCCTCCCATGGCACTATGTCTCTACTCGGTTTGATAATCCATAGCAACGGCCACACAGAACTCATAGACCACACTTACAGTTAAGTGGTTTATTAAGGAAGTAACGGAGTACAACTTGGGATCAGGATCAGGAAGCTCGTAGGCAAAGTCTGGAAGGCTCCCCTGAAGTGGAGACCATATCCCTCCCTTCTTCAGTGCAGGACAGCTCTCTCAGCTCCTCTTGGCCATGCAAACAAGCAGGCCCTTCTCTCTGCCATTCATGCCCCCTCTCAGCCCCCTGAAGACAGGCCTCCTCTTGGCCTCCTCAGGACAGGCCTCTCTGCCTTCGGCCTCCTGCCACAGGGTCCCTTCCAGGCCTGACACCACCAGCTCTGCCCAGGACTTCAAACTGGTTCTTCCTGGCTCAGTCATGGCTAAGTGAAACTGGCAGGCCTGAATTTTTTAAAATTTGGGTGCTCCAGGACTGTAACCAGAATGAGAAAAATTACAGGTCGAAACCCTGCTGGAAATCTAATCTCCCTCTTAGAAAACAAGGGCAACATACGTGTTGCATAGGAACCAAATCTCTTGCCCGGGAGATTTTTAGCAGAGATGGAAGCAGCTGTACCTGGCTCAAGATGGCAGACAATTTTGAATGTGTGTTGCTCTCCACAGTCCTGCCAATAATCCCAACTCATGCATCAGCCTCCTGAAAGCGCTCACTATGCCTCTTCCCAGTCTCCCATTCCAGGGCTTCAACCTGTAATTTTTCCTGTTCTGGAGCACCCAAATTAAAAGAAATTCAGGTCTATGCTGGTTTTGCTTCACCGGCCGCGACTGAACCCGCGTGCATCCCTGGCTGTGCTGCAGGGCCACATTTGGGCCTGTTGCTTTCTTTAGTGTTACAGCCCTTGACCTGTGTTACAACTCTTTGAGAAGGTTCTTCACCTCCTTTCTCTCTCTGCTGTTTCTCACCTTTTCTCCTTTCTGCTTCTTTCTTCTTTCTGTCTGCCAACCTCTGTGGGGTTGTCTATACATATAAGCAAACTCCTGGTCAATTTCAAGGCATGGCCCTCCCACCAGGGCCACGAACTGACCAATCCTCTCCTGGTAGGCCACAAATACTTCATTTGCATAGTAGCTATACTCACTTTATTTGCATAAGTATACTGACCAATCCCTGCAAGGTACATACTAATCACAGGGCAGGCTGCAGACCAGGGCCAAAACAAAAAGTTAAGTTGTTTACAGCTTGCCTAGGAAATGTCAATCAAACCTGGACAAAAGTAACAAACCTTCTGAGGTAGAAAACTACAGCAAAGGTAACTCTTCATGACTTAAGAAGCTCTCAAGCTTTTTTTCCAAAGAACTAAGGCAAAAGGCCACATAAAGGAACTCATTTCACCACAAGTCCACAGGTGACGCAGTGGTGGTTCAGTGGTAGAAGAGCATCCTCGCCTTCCATGTGAGAGACCTGGGTTTGATTCCCAGCCAATGAACTTCATGCACAGCCACCACCTGTCTGTCAGTGGTGGCTTACATGTTGCTATGATGCTGAACATGTTTCAGTGCAGATTCCAGGCTAAGATAAAGTCCCTAGATGGCAGAAACGGTTTGCACTTGACTATTAACCTAAAGGTTGGTGTTTCAATTCCACCCAGCAGCACCACAGAAGAAAAGCCTGGCAATCTGCTTCTATAAAGATTACAGCCAAGAAAACCCTATGTGGCAGCTCTACTCTGCCGTGAGTCAGAATCAACTTGACAACAATGGGTTTGTTTTTTTCTTTTGGTTACCAGACTAAGACAGACTATGGAGAAAGGCCTGGTGATCGACTTCCAAAAATCAGCCAGTGAAAACCCTATGGATCACAAGGGTCTGACTGTAACCGATCATCAAAATGGCACAGGACTAGGCAGCATTTTGTTCTGTTGTGCATGGGGTCACCATGAGTTGGGGCCGACTCAACAGCAGCTAACAAGATCCACATGCAGGATCATGAAGGGCCTTCAGAGCCCACTTAACCCACGCTCCCGTTTTCTGAGCAGCTGCTGTATACCAAGCACAGCACCAAGCTCACACACTGGAAACTGCTGTCATCCTTATTTACAGATAAGAAAACTGAGGCTCAGAGAGACTGAGTCACAAACTCAAATGCTCAACGCCTACAGGTTCCATAAAAGTGTGAATCTGAGCAAGTGCTCAGTATCTGTTCGTGGAAGGGCAGCTGCTTCTTACAACAGCTGATTTCTCAGATTTCTGACCTTTTTTCCAAGTAGAAACAGAAATTGGTATTGTTTTCCTGTGAAATTGCCTCATTTACAAATGTTAGCAACCAGTTTGGGTTTTCCCCCCAAAACACGGTGGAGGCTAGAGTAGCTACTGGTCCCCTGAATGTGGCTACCGATTTGCATCCCTGCATGCCTTCCAGGAAGGTCCCTGGGGGGGCACAAAGGGTTTGTGTTTGACCACTAACTTAATGGTCAGCAGTTCAAGCCCACCTAACGGCCATGGAAGAAAGGCCTGGCAATCTGCTGTCCTAAAGAAAACCCTATGAAGCTCAGTTCTACTCTGTAACATAGGGGGTCGCCATGAGTCTGAATCGACTCCACAGCAACGGGTTTGGTTTTTTTTCTTTTTGGTTTTATGCGTTCCAGGACCAACTGCCACAGCT